TAACTCAACTCTAACACTGCAAGTCTGTAACACAATAACTCAACTCTAACACCTGCTTAAGTCTGTAAACACCTAACTCAACTCTAACTCCCTTAAGTCTGTAACACAATAACTCAACTCTAACACCTGCTTAAGTCTGTAACACAATAACTCAACTCTAACACCTGCTAAGTCTGTAACACACTAACTCAACTCTAACACCTGCTTAAGTCTGTAACACAATAACTCAACTCTAACTCCTGCTTAAGTCTGTAACACAATAACTCAACTCTAACACCTGCAAGTCTGTAACACAATAACTCAACTCTAACACCTGCTTAAGTCTGTAACACAATAACTCAACTCTAACACCTGCTTAAGTGTAACATAACACTCTAACACTGCTTAAGTCTGTAACACAATAACTCAACTCCCCTGCTTAAGTCTGTAACACAATAACTCAACTCTAACACCTGCTTAAGTCTGTAACACATAACTCAACTCTACACCTCTTAAGTCTGTAACACACTAACTCAACTCTAACACCTGCTTAGTCTGTAACACAATAACTCAACTCTAACACCTGCTTAAGTCTGTAACACACTAACTCAACTCTAACTCCTGCTTAAGTCTGTAACACAATAACTCAACTCTAACTACTTAAGTCTGTAACACAATAACTCAACTCTAACACCTGTGTCTGTAACACACTAACTCAACTCTAACACCTGCTTAAGTCTGTAACACAATAACTCAACTCTAACTCCTGCTTAAGTCTGGAACACAATAACTCAACTCTAACACCTGCTTAAGTCTGTAACACAATAACTCAACTCTAACACCTGCTTAAGTCTGTAACACAATAACTCAACTCTAACACCTGCTTAAGTCTGTAACACAATAACTCAACTCTAACACCTGCTTAAGTCTGTAACACAATAACTCAACTCTAACACCTGCTTAAGTCTGTAACACACTAACTCAACTCTAATATGCAAGTCTGTAACAAATACTCAACTCTAACACCTGCTTAAGTCTGTAACACAATAACTCAACTCTAACACCTGCTTAAGTCTGTAACACAATAACTCAACTCTAACACCTGCTTAAGTCTGTAACACAATAACTCAACTCTAACACCTGCTTAAGTCTGTAACACAATAACTCAACTCTAACACCTGCTTAAGTCTGTAACACAATAACTCAACTCTAACACCTGCTTAAGTCGTAACACAATAACTCAACTCTAACACCTGCTTAAGTCTGTAACACAATAACTCAACTCAACACCTGCTTAAGTCTGTAACACAATAACTCAACTCTAACACCTGCTTAAGTCTGTAACACACTAACTCAACTCTAACACCTGCTTAAGTCTGTAACACAATAACTCAACTCTAACACCTGCTTAAGTCTGTAACACAATAACTCAACTCTAACACCTGCTTAAGTCTGTAACACAATAACTCAACTCTAACACCTGCTTAATTACATAAACCATCCAGTTAGCTATATAACATCTTGCGTCAGGTAACACAGCTGTAACTTACCTTAATGACTGTACCTGGTGTTAGAGGCGGCTGTACATTAATATCCTCTCAGGGACCTTTACCTCCCACCTTCATATGGATTAAGTGTTTTTGGAAGCAGCAGGTAAAATGCTGGGATGTGATTTAGTTTGTGTATAACCTTTCTGACTGTGAGTTAATTAAAGCTGTCTGGGTGTCTGGGTGTATGGGAGTATGGGTGTCTGGGTGTATGGGTGTATGGGTGTATGGGTGTCTGGGTGTATGGGTGGCTGGGTGTATGGGTGTCTGGGTGTATGGGTGTTTGGGTGTATGGGTGTATGGGTGTATGGGTGTATGGGTGTATGGGTGTATGGGTGTCTGGGTGTATGGGTGTATGGGTGTATGGGTGTATGGGTGTCTGGGTGTATGGGTGTCTGGGTGTATGGGTGTCTGGGTGTATGGGTGTCTGGGTGTATGGGGTGTCTGGGTGTATGGTGTCTGGGTGTATGGGTGTCTGGGTGTATGGTGTATGGGTGTATGGGTGTCTGGGTGTATGGGTGTATGGGTGTCTGGGTGTAGGGTGTTGGGTGTATTGTCTGGTGTATGGTGTTTGGGTGTATGGGTGTATGGGTGTATGGGTGTATGGGTGTCTGGGTGTATGGGTGTATGGGTGTCTGGGTGTATGGGTGTTTGGTGTATGGTGTATGGGTGTCTGGGTGTATGGGTGTATGGGTGTATGGGTGTATGGGTGTATGGGTGTATGGGAGTATGGTGTAGGGTGTTTGGTGTATGGTGTTGGGTGTATGGGTGTTTGGGTGTAGGTGTATGGGTTGGGTGTATGGGTGTATGGGTGTATGGGTGTATGGGTGTATGGGAGTATGGGTGTATGGGTGTATGGGTGTCTGGGTGTATGGGTGTTTGGGTGTATGGGTGTCTGGGTGTATGGGGTATGGGTGTATGGTGTATGGGTGTATGGGTGTATGGGTGTCTGGGTGTATGGGTGTTTGGTGTATGGGTGTCTGGGTGTATGGGTGTATGGGTGTATGGGTGTCTGGGTGTATGGGTGTTTGGGTGTATGGTGTCTGGGTGTATGGGTGTCTGGGTGTATGGTGTATGGGTGTATGGGTGTATGGGTGTATGGGTGTTTGGGTGTCTGGGTGTATGGGGTATGGGTGTATGGGTGTATGGGTGTATGGGTGTCTGGGTGTATGGGAGTATGGGTGTATGGGTGTATGGGTGTCTGGGTGTATGGGTGTATGGGTTGGGTGTATGGGTGTATGGGTGTATGGGTGTATGGGTGTCTGGGTGTATGGGAGTATGGGTGTATGGTGTCTGGGTGTATGGGTGTATGGGGTGGGTGTATGGGTGTTTGGGTGGGGTGTGGGGTTGGGTGTATGGGTGTCTGGGTGTATGGGTGTATGGGTGTATGGGTGATGGTGTCTGGGTGTAGGGGTGTCTGGGTGTATGGGTGTATGGGTGTCTGGGTGTATGGGTGGCTGGGTGTATGGGTGTCTGGGTGTATGGGTGTTTGGGTGTATGGGTGTATGGGTGTATGGGTGTATGGGTGTATGGGTGTATGGGTGTCTGGGTGTATGGGTGTATGGTGTGTTTGGGTGTTTGGGTGTATGGGTGTATGGGTGTATGGGTGTATGGGTGTTGGGTGTATGGGTGTCTGGGTGTATGGGTATGGTGGTATGGGTGTCTGGGTATATGTATGGGTGTTTGGGTGTCGGGGTGTATGGGTGGCTGGGTGTATGGGTGTATGGGTGTTTAGGTGTATAGGTGTTTGGGTGTCTGGGTGTATGGGTGTCTGGGTGTATGGGTGTCTGGGGTGTGTGGGTGTATGAGTGTATGGTTTAGGATGTCCAGAGGCGAGTTACTGTTTCATTTGGAGAGTAACGTGTAGAAATTAGTATGGGAGTCGTATAATTAGAAGCTTCTGTAACATAACCCATTTAGAGGCAGTTTGGACGGTATTGTACTTGATTGTCTTCATTTCCTTAACTATAAAGTCAGGTACACATTCACAGCTGGGTGGGATAGGTGGTGGGTCCGATCCTGAGGTGGTGAGTGAGGGAAACAAAATAACAACAGACGAAACAAAAAAAAAATAAGTAAAAATAAATTAAATGAATCTTTTTTTTTTTTTAGGAAGTGATAGTTGGCGAAATGTCAGTGTGATCGTTGTCGTCATTTCTTTCATCTTTGTGGTTATTCGCGGGAAGACCTTTAGCGATGACCTTTGACCTGTGACCTATGACCTGTGTACGATGTTAGTTAAAATTTTACAGTGCTGAGTTATTACCGAAGCTGAACAAGTGTGAAATTTTGATCACGGTCGAATCAAAATTGTGGACGCTACCATGTGAACAGACAGACAGACAGACGGACCGACATAGACAGAAAGACAGGCAAACCAACCGAACTTTTCAATACACGTAGTAAATCCTCGTCATCACCAAGTTAACAAAGACGTCATCAAAACAATGAATAAACTTTGACAAAATCTGAAGAAAAAAATATACAGAAGAAACTACTTAGAAAATATATATATTGACCTTTAATTCATTAGTTATTTAGGTTCAATTTATAGCAAAACACAAATTACCTTAAACAAAACAGTAAGACAATATACACACCTGTCAATATGGTGATTGGCGGCGTGGTGTTAGAGGTGAGATCAAAGGCGTGGGGTAAGGGTTGTAGGTGGCGTGTATCCATAACAACACGCCAGGATCACACCGCGCCCTTCTTCCCTCCCTCTCGATAACATATCACCGACGAAGCCAATAGTAGACTTGGGATATTTATTTGTTCGTATTTTTATCTGCTGAAGCGTCTCACTGGAGTAGTATCGTAAGAGACGGTACGATATCTCAACTACATCTCTATCGTAAGACAATCGTAGGATCTCTAAATTACATGTCTTTTAGTTTACAATAAAATTTCAAAATTTATCTTCTTTTTTTTTCCTTATGATAGATTCTGTCGATTACTTCTCTATCGTAAGGCTAAAATCATCTCTATTTTCCTGTAACATAAAGACTAAAAATTCACGTCAGTCTTCAGGTAAACTCGGAGTAGATTCCAGGTAGATTCAGACGCCAGGTAGACTCAGGTAAACTGCATAATTACCCAATCGAAGTAAACTACAGGTAGATGAGAGGATCACCTGTGGATTAGTCCCTACCTTATTTCACCTGATGATTAATTAAACATCCTAATGTTACCTGGGCGGGTTAGGTTAGGTTATTTTGTTTGGTTAGGATGGTTATGTTGGATTAGGTTAGCGTTATGTTGGGATTAGGTTAGCTTTATTTTAGAGTTAGGTTATAGTAGGTTAGAATAAAGATAATATAATCACTAAGAGCCCGAACATCAATATTAAAATGTTTTCGATTTCTTTTGGATACCTAATCTAATCTAACCTAACCTAACCTAACCTAACCTAACCTAACGTAGTCATCTTTGGTTGACACTTGAGGTAACACTTGTTGTCCCTCGTCCTTACAGACACCTCGGCAGCGCTGTCCCTCCTTGAGCGCATCCAGCGGTCCATGAAGGAGACGGACGAGACTAAGATGTCCGACCAGTGCAGCAACGACCTCAACACTCTGATCTCCGTCCTCGAGAGCCCCGTCTTTAGGGGCATCATCAACATACAGGTGAGTGTCCTCGTGTACCCTGCCCTAGTGCACCTTGCCCTAGTGTACCCTGCCCTAGTGTACCCTGCCCTAGTGTACCTTGCCCTAGTGTACCGTCTTTAGGGGCATCATCAACATACAGGTGAGTGTCCTCGTGTACCCTGCCCTAGTGCACCTTGCCCTAGTGTACCCTGCCCTAGTGTACCCTGCCCTAGTGTACCTTGCCCTAGTGTACCCTGCCCTAGTGTACCCTGCCCTAGTGTAGCCCTGTACCTTGCCCTAGTGTACCGTCTTAGGGGCATCATCAACATACAGGTGAGTGTCCTCGTGTACCCTGCCCTAGTGCACCTTGCCCTAGTGTACCTTGCCCTAGTGTACCTTGCCCTAGTGCACCTTGCCCTAGTGTACCGTCTTGAGGGGCATCATCAACATACAGGTGAGTGTCCTCGTGTACCCTGCCCTAGTGCACCTTGCCCTAGTGTACCTTGCCCTAGTGTACCTTGTTACGCTAGTGCACCTTGATACCTTGCCTCAATGTACCGTGTTTAGGGACATTATCAACATACGGGGGAGAGAGAGTCTTGGTGTACCCTGTTGACCTGCCCTTAAACGTACCTTGCTGACCTGCCCTTAATGTACCGTGGTATTTGTAACCCTTAAGTCATAGTGAAGAAATACAAGCTCCGTGTTTACTAATGTCCCGCCATGAGACAACTGTCCAACACATTGTAATACTTGAAGGGGAGATTATCAGGGTAACTTAGATAGTGTTAAGCTGTGTGTGAGACCCCAAGATGATGACCAACTCCCGGTGTATAGGAAGATTGTGGTGGTGGGCAGCAGTGAGGAACAGTAAAAAGAGCGGCTACTCAACTTTAAGCCCGACAAGAGAGGGAGAAAAGTCCTTAGTATTCAGGAGGGCCGAGTCATGCTGCCTCAACATCAAAAGGCACTTCCATCTAGCCAGTGCCGGCATCGGTCTTCACTATATCACGCCGGGGAGAACGAGTAGAGGCCAAGTTGTGTAACTCAAAAGGGAGGCGTTTGTGATGCACTGTGTTGGGGGGCTGGTGGTGGCAAAGGGGGGGGGGGGGGGGGACACTGGAGGTGGTGGTGGGTTTTACTAGTAGTGGTGGGAGGAACACTGGTGGTGGTGATGCTGGTAGTCGTGGTGGTGGGAGGGACACTGGTAGTGGTGTCGCCCCAGGCCAGGTCTCTCGTCCAAGGGGTGGTGGCTGGTTGTTTCCTCTGGGGTCTTGTTGTCTGTTTATTTCTTGAGCCTCCTTGTTGTTGCTGTTTTTAATAGTTGAGCTGCTCTCTCTCTCTCTCTCTCTCTCTCTCTCTCTCTCTCTCTCTCTCTCATTTTATTTACATTTGTCTGTAATACCTGAAAATATAATTACCACTATACCACGAGGAGCTGAAACATAAATATAATATTTACAAAAATAATTACATACGAATATAATAAAAGAAGTGTGTGTGTGTGTGTGTGTGTGTGTGTGTGTGTGTGTGTGTGTGTGTGTGTGTTGCTCCTTATTCTCAAATTTTCTTTAATTCTTGGGAAACCATTTGCAAGTTAGCTCACGCCTCAGAGTGGGAAGCGACGTTGGCCCTTCGTTTCAATGTATGAAAAAAAACTTCCTCGGAAACTGTAGAGTAAACGACAGGTTGACCCCGCGCTAAAAAGCTCCCAATTTTCTCAACCGATTTTATGGGAATTGAACCCGTCAACGATATAGCTGCCCCCCCAAAAAAATACAAAAGAATTATTTTGTGTTCACCAAAGTTTGTCCATAGGAAAAAACGAAGTAATTTTTTTTCCATACAAACACAAAAGAATAAACCCAAGGAATTTTTTTAGGAAGCTTGTACATAGGGAAAAAATAAAATACATTTTTCTTAAGAACGTGTATTTGTATGAAAAATCCTAAATATTTTAAAAGGAAGTTTATACACGTGAAGAAATATAAATTTATTTTGTCCATCCCAACATCTCTTATTTTTTCGAAACATTTAATTCAATATAAACAGTAACATAAGTACACACGCGTCTCATTGTGACAACATACACTGCCCTGACTTGTATCTGTACACACTCGACCATAAGTGTCTGAACGTTGATATATTTATTATCATTATGACTGTACACTTCTTTCTGTACCTGACTGTATCTGACACAACCCTCACATTACAGAACAGGAGGCACTGCTGTAGTATTAATATAACACTCGACACAGGAGTCTGAGTGACTTATATGACAGCACATCCTCCACCCACAAAGACTCTCATTGTACAGTACACGTTAACATGTTTACACTCACGTCATTAATTAATATATCCAGTGGCATTTTGACTGTGTAGTGAGGAAGGATTTGACCTGTTAAAACCTTACTTATTGTTGTTATTGGTGTTATTATTATCATTAATATTGTTGATATTAATATTGCAGTTGTTCATGTTATTATTATTTTTATTATTATTATTATTATTATTATTATTATACGTGTTAAAGATCATTAAAGACACGGGAATAACTTTAAGTAGTAATGTAATATTCTTGTAAACTATTAATATCTCACTTAGGAAGGACAGTCAGTCACGTTTATATTTATGTCCACAATATGTAAATACACAAAGTAATTGAAGGAAGGGAAGTTGTACAGTGTTCATACTTGGACATACATACATACATACATACATACATACATACATACATACATACATACATACATACATACATACATACATATAGGGCTTCGTTATTAAAAGCAAATCTGTCAACTCTTCACCATACAGTGTTACCAGATCACCCGAATCACCTGACTCACATTATACAAATTACCTGAACCTGAACCTGAACTCTCTACCTGTATTGGGTGTACGGTAGGTGAGGTGACCTTGAGAACACTGCCTCAAAATCCCACTGGCTGCTTCACCCTAGGTACCGGGGGTGGGGGGAGGGGGCGGTAGGTGAGACAGGGTGGGGGGAGTGGGGTGGGTAGGGTAGGGTGGGTGGAGGGTGACTTACCACTACTACTCCAGCTAGATGGTGTTCCGCCATTTGCAGTTGTAAATTTGCCGGTTCTCTCAAGAGCTCCCAGGCCCGGGGAGCCCAACAAAGTGTTTCTCTTACTCTCACGGGCTTAGTGGTGTGTGTGTGTGTGTGTGTGTGTGTGTGTGTGTAAATCAGTTATAGGAGTCATTAGATAAGACTCTGGTTCGATAATAAAAGATTCTCCCATCAACCTAGAGAAGTCGACTTGTGAAAGAGACCTAGGGGCACTTGTAAGCCCGGACCTACGGCCTAGAAAACAGTGCGTTAATGTTCGAAATAAGGCAAACAGTGTATTGGGTTTTATATCTAGAAGTGTAAGTAAAAAGAGTGCAGAGGTCTTATTGCAGCTATATCTTGCGCTAATCAGGCCGCACCTCGATTATGCGGTTCAGTTCTGGTGCCCCTATTATAGAATGGATATAAATTCACTAGAGTCGGTGCAGCGAAGAATGACAAAATTGATTCCGGGACTTAGAAACCTTCCATACCAGGATAGGTTAAAGAAACTTAACTTGCATTCCCTAGAAAGACGAAGAGTGCGGGGAGATATGATAGAAGTATTTAAGTGGGTGAAAGGTATCAATAACGGGGATATAGATAAAGTTCTTATAATATCCGAGCAGGATAGGACTCGGAGCAACGGATTCAAGTTGGATAAGTTTAGGTTTAGGAGGGAGATAGGAAGAAACTGGTTCACAAATAGGGTGGTGGACGAGTGGAACAAGCTTCGCAACTTTGTAGTAAGTGCGGGTACTCTGGAAAGTTTCAAAAGGAGGCTGGATAGATTCATGGATGATAGAGAGTGGTAGTAACTCTCGACAGGAGCTGCCATGCACAGGTCAACCGGCCTATTGCAGACTCCTTATTTTCTTATGTTCTATGTTTCATTTTTACCACTCCCGAATTATGACAAAGTGAATCGTATTTTTGTGTAGTTAAGGTAGTCTACGGCATAACCTTTTCACCCCCCAGCATAGTTTACCTCAATAATAACTACGCTGCCACCACAAACGAGGGATTTTGACAACACTACCGAGACAACACTAATCGTTCTTGATCATTTCGAAATTTATCTGACCCATCCAGGAAGATACTTGTTTTACTGTCTGCCTGTCTGTCTCTCTGTGTGTGTGTCTGTCTGTCTGTCTGTATTTATGTATGTATGTATGTGTGTAGGTGCTTGGTGTTTGTAGTAATACGGATAATCACTAAATAAAACAGTATCAGGTCCATCATTCACGTCGAGGGATCATTATGGTGGTGGGGGGACAAGATGGGCGGTGGTGGTGATGGGGGACAAGATGGGCGGTGGTGGTGATGGGGGGACAAGATGGGTGGTGGTGGTGATGGTGGGGGACAAACATGGGCGGTGGTGGTGATGGTGGGGGACAAGATGGGCGGTGGTGGTGATGGTGGGAGGGGACAACCTGGGCGGTAATCGACGTACAGGTATGGATGGGGGACAAGGCCGTGTAAAATTCACACGCGATGGAGATGTCAGGATATGGGTGTGTGTGTGTCGTGAGGGTGTCGACAGGTAGGCGTGAAATTTAGATGGCGAGAAGTCGACAGGATTTGTAGGTTATCGTAGTGTCGACAGGATTTTGACGCTGAAGAAGTGTTGACAGACTGATAGATAGATAGATAAATATAGTAGATAGATAGACACACACACACACACACACACAGACAGACAGATAGATAGACAGATAGATAAATAGATAGATAGATAGACAGAGTTAGGTATGATAGATGACCTTCAAGCTGGCAGCAGATATTAACTAGTGTAGCGCTGGGGTTGACTGATGGCTCTTCTTGGCCGAGTTTTTACGGCACAATAATTTTCGACGTTATTTAACCGGGATATTTATGTCTGAAGTTTGTTTCTCACTTCAAGATATTTTTTGGGGGGATTTTATGTGGAATTTTTGAGGGATTTAAAGTGTATTTTAATTAGGGTTTATTTGATTTAATTTGACCTCTTCTCTTCTCTTCTCTCAGGGGCTATGGGAATAGAACGGAACAGTTAAACTCTCAAATCTCAAACAATTACGAAATTATCTTAGAGAGAGAGAGAGAGAGAGAGAGAGAGAGAGAGAGAGAGAGAGAGAGAGAGAGAGAGAGAGAGTTACTCCCAAGACAATACAATCAGCTGATAAACGGAACAAAATAGAAGACACAAACTTTTCTCGAAAATGGCGGAATAAAATCTTAAAGACTTTAACAAAATATTGAGATTTACGACACTATTTCGTTCCCAACGCCTGCACGAGCAATCACCAGCGCCTGGCATTCCCTTCCGATCCGGATTATTACACTTATGGAACTTAGTCTAGTTGAGTTTTCGCCTGTCTTCTGTTTGCTCTGGGGATCACCTACACCCCTGGCGTACTTTCGCCTGTATTATGTTGTACTGGCGTTTAACCAATCCACAACTATATGGTAATGGAAGGTGAGCTCTCTCTCTCTCTCTCTCTCTCTCTCTCTCTCTCTCTCTCTCTCATACACACACATATTTATAGGCCTCTTAACCTTAACCCACTCAGTCTTAGCCTTCTCTAGCCTTAACCCACTCAGTCTCAACCCTCTTGAGTGTTAACAGTCGGAGCATTAACCAGTGAGAGCCTTAACCTTATAACACACTCACTGTAGGATGGTAGCCTGACGAGACACACACACACACACACACACACACACACACACACACACACACACACACACACAACACATGGAACCAGTGTTAAACAGAGGTGAACAGTGGTGAACAGTGCTTAAGTCAGTGAGAACAACTCAACAGTAACAGTGGTACCCAAGTTGACCTTTCACACAGTGAGGTCCCAGGTACCCAGTGATAACGGCCCATGAGACCCAACTACCAGCGATGTGTTAATCCGTCTACGATAGGAAGGCCTGGAACCACACCTCACTCATATAACACCATCTGTGAGGGAATTACTACACCACGTGAGGCCCCTCATAACACCATATGTGAAGGAGTTACTACACCACGTGAGGCCCCTCATAACACCATCTGTGAGGGAATTACTACACTACGTGAGGCCCTCATAACACCATCTGTGAGGGGAAATTGCCACACCACGTGAGGCTCCCTCATAACACCATCTGTGAGGGAACTACTACACCACGAGGTCCCTCTCCTAACACTATCTGGGAGGAGTTACTACACTACGTTTTTGCTGTTCAACACCTACATTAATCTGTATGTTCACTGTATGTTCCTTTTACCTTTCTCTAATGAAGGCTTTTGTTAAACCACCAATGTATGTAATAAGTCATTTATGTCCAATGTATATTTTCAGCCTTCGGGCTGCAGAACTTTTTCAATAAACCGTTAATTATTATTATTATTATTATTATTACACACACACACACACACACACACACACACACACACACACACACACACACACACACACACACACACACACACACACACACACACACACACACACACACACACACACACACACACACACACACACACACACACACTCGTTGACGTAGGTGCAGGATATATAATAGGCAATTTATGGCCTCCCGCACCATCAGCTGGTCGCCATTAACCACCCGCTGTGTCATGTTCAATTTTAGGGGATGGGTCCTTAGATTTTAGGATGAGTCTTTAAATTTTAGGGAGTAGTTCTTTGAATTTTAGGGGGTGGGTCTGTGAAAGTTAGAAGGTGGGTCTTTAAATTTTAGGGGTGGGTCTTTAAGATTTAGTTCCTGCTATTTGCTGAAAGATCTTAGTAAGGATTGTAATGGTGGTCTGACAGAGGACTTGGGGAATATTTGTGGGGGAATGTTGTGTTATTTTTCAAGTTTGGGGAATATTTGTGGGGGAATGTTGTGTTATTTTTCAAGTTTGGGGAATATTTGTGGGGGAATGTTGTGTTATTTTTCAAGTTTGGGGAATATTTGCCGAGTTTGTTATTATTATCTGAAATTCTGGATGAAAATGACATATGAACAATTACCGTGATATAAATTGTTCTTTTAACATGTGATGTATTACGCTGACTGAAGGCTTTATTGACATTGCAATTCTATATTAAACTCTGATAAAATTAATGGTTGCAATTCAAATGGACCCCGTCCTAATGGGCCCCAGTTTGTAATTGACCCCAACCTAATCTAATCTAACCTAATCTAAACTGTGTGTGTCATTTGGAATGGTTTCCTATTTTGGGGATATTATTAGTATTTGTGTTATTATTATTGTTATTTTTTTATAAATATTAATAGAATTTTATTTGTTATTATTATTATTATTATTATTATTATTATTATTATTATTATTATTATTATTATTATTATTATTATTATTATTAAACCTCTTCATATTTAATTAACCATCTCCCCATTGTCTCCTGCAGGAATCCCTGAAGGAGTTGAAGAAGCAGGTGTCGCAGCACCCGTCCATAGTGCCCGCGGACTTTGACATCAGTCGGGAGGGGAAGTTGATCCTACATGTGTCACCAGAGGGAGGAGAGCACATTGAGTTTGATATGCACAGTGACTCAGCCACCCTCATCCTCAATACCAGCCCCGCCCTTAATGCCCAGGTATGTGCTGTGGGTGTAACTTGTAGGTGTATTGGTGTAGGGTGTAGGTATAGACAGGTCACCCAACCACCCTTACCCTCATAATCAGTTCTACCCTTAATGGCCACGTATGTGTTTTGATGTGGGTTTAGCTTGTTAGGTGTAATTGTGTAGGGTGTAGGTGTGAGTGTAGACAGTCCACCCTCAAGACCAGCCCCGTCCTTAACACCCTGACCGCCTACCGTCTTGCCGCTGTGAACCTGACCGTCTACTGTGATGACAAAGACCAACCCTGAAACTTGAAGCAGATTCGACACGTTTTACTGTAGCATAAAAATATTTGTGGATTCATTTTACGACTCGAAATCTCAGTAAATTTTTATCGTGGCGCTGACCTCGGTGGTGACGCTTTTATTATGAGGTAAACATTCTAGTCAGAGTTATATTTCTAATGAGTCTGGGAAAACAGTCGAACGTTTTTGGGGGAAAATTATCCTTAAATCTTTCGCTCAAATTGAGACGTGGGAGACATAGATTCCTTTATAGTTTATTTTCGTCTACCTATTTTATGACAGTTTTTGCAATATACTCACAAAAGCCATATGTAAGTTATGCCTATGGGAGATTATGTTATGAGATTTAAAAGGTAAAAAATATCTTAAATCAACAACAACAGGAGTTTATACAGTTCCACATAAACTCATCCTCGTTAAAGAATATAACGAGTCTTTGAGAGTTGATTAGGTGCCTTAAGTGCTGCTTGTGGTAATGGAAGTGTGAGGTTTATAATCTAACCTAACCTAACCTAACCTAACCTTGGCGTCTTAGAGTATATAACATAATATGAGTGGAGTTGATGTTAGCCAGGCAGCTGAGGGCGAGACTGTAGTAAAGTAGAGACAGAGCGGATAAAAGCGCCATTTTTTTCAGGTGATCCTTACGTCAGATGCTCCCAGTTGTCGGTAGGATCCAGGAAAATAAGTCATCATTGTAATATTTATGGACGATACATTACACAATTTATTCTTTCGTCTAGTCATCATTGTAATATTTATGGACGAAACATTACAAAATTTATTCTTTCGTCTAGTCATCATTGTAATATTTATGGACGAAACATTACAAAATTTATTCTTTCGTCTAGTCATCATTGTAATATTTATGGACGATACATTACACAATTTATTCTTTCGTCTATAACATGAATATAAAGCTAATGAAAGTAATTTAAATGCATCATACCACCAAATAATATCCCACAGTATGAGTAAAATTTTGTTGATAAAAAGTTAAAAAAATGCTTGGCTTAATCTCACCTAACTAATGACATGGTGAGGGTCAGGTGGGCCATTAGCCTTCCGAAAATGGTTAATAACTGGGGAGGAAAGCGTGACAGTTGATGATTGACTGGTATGGGAGGACAGTTGATGATTGACAGGGATGGGGGGACAGTTGATGATTGATAGGGATGGGGGGACAGTTGATGATT